TCGATCTTTATCGCCCATTCTCTTTTGTCGCTTCAAATCGTATCAGGCGGAACGTTTTCTAAACATAAACGGTGTGGACTGAATATACCTTTTCCTGGACCTGAAAACTTCCAGTCAAATCTTTATAAGTTTCACTCTATATTTTTTTTGCTATCCCTCACCCTCTAACTCAAAACAATGGATCTTGCTGGCTCCTGTGATGTGGTCATCGAAGAAATCAATAGTAATGATGTCCCCGAAGAAGAATTATCCCAATTCCAGGAGACAGAACCATTAAAAGTCCTTCAACTTATTTCAGATGATGACGACGACGAAGATGAGGGCAATCTAATACAGAAATTTGTTCATGGCGAAGCGGATTTTCCCGATTTCTATACCAAACTGGAACCCCATGAACAGCCCGATGATGAAGATGATGGCGAGGAAGAGGAGGACGATACCGATATTATGGGGACAAGTGATGCCAATGATATTAGTAGTTCACAGGAAAAAGAAATGCAGGAGCAGGCAGAATTTAAGGCCAATATAATGCAAGGTTTTCCCAATATTGAAGCACCACCTGGGGCATTGAACTTTTCCAGTCGCACGGTTCCGAAGAGAAAGAAACAATCACGAAAAGATCGTAAAATGGATGCAGATGATATACCAAGTACCAGTCGTCGGGCACGATGTACCAGTTCCACCAGCACCAGTGGTGGGGTACGCAAACGTTCGCTGCTCAATGTAGCGCTGCAGGGTTTAATGGGTGAGGCAAATTTATGTTTTGCCCGTGGACAAATACAAATGGCGGAAAAAATTTGTTTGGAAATTATAAGACAAAATCCTTTGGCTCCCGAGCCGTTCTTTACATTGGCCGAAATCTACGAGTCTCGAGATACAGAGAAATTTTTAAATTTCCTCACAATTGCTGTACATTTAAATCCCAGTGATCGCTATCAATGGATACGCATTGCAGAAATGCATATCGCTCAAGGTAATTTGCAAAGGGCTCGCATCTATTATACCCGTGCCATTAAGGTTCATCCGCGTGATTATGATTTACGTTTGCGCAAGGCACGTCTATTGGATATGATGGGTGAGAAGACAGCTGCCCTGTTTACCTATTTGAAAATGATACAACATTGTCCGGTGGATCGCCATGAATTGTGTCTGGTCACCGCAAAGAATGTGGCTAAGCATTTCCATGGTTGTAACAAATATCATTTGGCTTTGGAGGCCATGCAAAGTGCCTACACTGTGTGTGGTCATCTATTCAGTTTGGAAGATTTGAATCTGTACATGGAATTGTGCATTATTAATAAACAGTATTTCAAGGTGCTGCAATGCCTGCGAGAGAGAACAAATTTGGAATTGGAAACTGAGAAGGAAGAGCAATTAGATTTGGTGTTCTATTGTGTTATACCCGATGATTATGTACCCGATTTTAGAGTTAAGCTATGTGTGGCTCTGATAAATTTGAAGGCCCATCACTTGTTGGGTTACCTGATACAGAATATACACGAACACATACCACCACTGGAAACGGATAGGCTGAATTTGTATTGTGATATTGCTGAGGCCCTCATGCAAGAACATAAATATGCCGAAGCAATATCATTACTGCGTCCCATAACAGATGGCGATATCATTGATTGTCCTGCTTTTATTTGGCTCAAGCAGGCTGAGTGCTTGAGGCACTTGAATCGTTGCAATGAGGCCATTGAAAGTTATACCAAAGTGGTGGAATATGCTCCATACTGTTATGAGGCCAAATTCACACTGTCCGCCTTGTTGAAACAACAAGGTAGACATGTAGAAGCTGTCAAGGCCTTGGAACAATCTGGGGAGCATGAAGGCCAGCCCCTGCATGCTCGCTTACTTTACGAACGATGCATAATGTTACAGCAAATCAATGAAATTGATGAATTCTTGGAAATTGGTTGTGTGCTATTGGGACGCCAATCAATCAAGCTACGTAATCGTGAAGAGATGCAAGCCGCCGCTAATGGTGGATCATTTTACAACTCGGAAGGTCTAAAAGTTATTCTACAAATGCGTAACATAATTGGCGATGAAGCTGATAAAGCATTGGAGGTGTCAAAAAGTTCATCATCGAATAATGCCACTGATGATCTATCAGTCCATGACGAATATCAGTTATTTTTGGAACTAATGCGTATTGGGTATCTGCACAAAAACTATAGCATACTGGAGAGAATGTGTTTTGCCATGGTCACAACAAAACGTTTTGTTGGCTATCATGTTGAATTGGAACGCATTATTATATTGGCTTGCTATTTCAATAATGACTGTTCCATTGCATTCTCCTATCTAAGAGAGTTGATACACAAAAATGCCAGTTCCAAACCATTGTGGAATCTCATGTGTCTGCTAATCCAAAAAGGACAAGATTTACGTTATCATCGTTATATGAATCGTTTGATACCACGCCAGCCACAAGCCAAAGGTATGCGCATCTTAACCGGTCATTATCATTTGCATTGTAGCTCCTATAAGTATGCTTTAAATGTTTATGTGCCAATGTATAAGGAACAACCGACCCCAATATTGGCCCTCTGTATTGCGGTGATATTTCAACAAATCTCAATGCAAAAGAAAGTTTTACGTAAATGTGCTGCCGTCACACAGGCCATGGTCTTTGCTCATAAATATGCCGAAATGAGATGTAAACCTTTTGCCATATCACCCAATAACGTCGATGCTTCAATGGAGAATTCGGCAACATATCAAGAAGTTAATTATAATATTGGTCGTATCTATCATCAATGTGGCCTGTTTCATTTGGCCGTGGAATACTATGAGAAGGCATTGAATTTCACCCACCCATTGTTGGAGAAACACCCAGAGATTTTAAGTTTAAAACAAGAAATTGCTTTTAATTTACATCTTATATATCGTTCGAGTGGAAATATGGCTAAAGCTCGTCAATATCTTTATGAGTATTGTGTGGTTTGACGTGTGAATATTATCTGAAAGATAAATTAGAAATAAGGTTAGTTTTAAGTACGGTTTTCATTGGAAATAAAACGGAATTATTTTTAAGAAATAAAAAATTGTATTTTTTTGCACTACACAAGGGTATTGTTGAAACCCATGAAACCCCTTCTATAGCCATAATTAGCTATGCAGAAAATGGAAATCATCGATTCGGTCCTCTACCATTTTCTCCACATTTCTGCTTTTCTATATCTTTACCATAATTCAAGGTAACTTAAAGTTCCCTGGGATATTGCCAGACTGCAATGTGATATTGACTGAAATTATCATGAAACGATATCATCATAAGGGTTATGACTTTTGATGAATATTTACTTGAGATTAGATAAAATCGTAGGCGGTTCGACAAAAAAAACTCACTTTAAATAAAAATTTATTTTATAAGCAGATTATGAAATGCTATGCAAAATCAGTTATTAGCATGGTACAATAGTACAAGGTAGGAATACTTGTGGTGAATAAAAAAAGCAACTCTGTAGGTAATGGCTTTTTCCGTCATATATAAAATAAATATACACAACAAGTGGTTATGTTTATTTGCCATTTTCAATACATAATTAAAAACGCGAAAAGTAATCGAAAGGTTATGATAACTTGTCAAAATGGAATAGGGAATACCATGAAATGGAGTTTTAATCCATGGTAAAGTACTACAAGGTAGAATATCTTGAGTTAATCACCTCAAGTTAAAAAGCAAATCTGTAGGTAGTGAATTCTTCTGTCAAATATAAAATAAATACACGCAACAGGTTGTTTTGTTTATTTGACATTTTTTCAACACATAACTAAAATCGCCAAAAGTGTATGACGTCTTTCCAAATTTCAATTAGTCCTGATTTATATTAGGCGAGTTTACTTGCGGCAATTATTATTTTTTTTTATAAAAACAACTTTAAAATCAAAACAACACCCAATGAAATGTTGCATTCATGTCCACCATTTTTACTCGGCCCAATTTCTAGAGTAAAGAGTTTGTAAAGTAAACGTCAAATCTCTTAGATAAGGTTAAATATTTTACTAGTTGTATGGGTACAAGAAGGCTTTTCGAGTAATAAGTTCCAAAACTTGAAACAGAACTACTATTTTGCTTTGAAATCCGAATGCATGCATTTGCAGTTTGAAAACATTACTTCTGATAGAGGGTACAAAATTTTTGGATCGGTTGAAGTAAACATTTTTCTTTACATTTTCTTATTCAACACAATATATCCTATCTTTTATAATGGTATCATCGAGGAGACCTCTCTATTTTTAATTATCAACTGCCTAAAAGATCATCCGTCCGAAAGATTCTCCAGAATCAAAGTAAATAGCTTAATTCTTTTTCTTGACATCACCTATTTTCAAATAGACTGTTAAATTTTTTCTTCATGGCATCTATTTTCATTTCCAAAATCTGGTCACTTTACAAGATCTATTAATAAAGTCATCTGCAATCGAAAGACATCTGCTTTTTCTAAATTCTAATGTCAAAAATTTGGACTTGGTTTACGTTTTCACAATGGAAGTCAATTCACAATAATGGATTTTGACAGCAAATTAGCGAAGCTGCTGATATCCAGCTGGTCTCCCTGGATTACCTTACTCCCTCAGGATTAACTATTAACTTAATACAGTAAAATGTAAATGTACAAAAACTGTACGGAAATTTGTACCTTCTGTTGTTTTACCGCAAATCGATTTTCAGAAACCTGTCCGATACGATTTTGTTAACCCTTTCAGCCACTTTTCGATCTATCTCTTTTTAGATTTTTTTTGTTTTGATTTACTCCTTTATCATTTGTTTCTTTCACTTAAAAATTCTAAACAAAGAATTCCCTTATATCCTGCCGATGAATAGTGCCTTGCCGGTTCCATCTTCGCCTATCCTGAAATGTTTACCAAAAACTCACAAAACTTGCAACATCATCTATGGGCCAGAGAAACAAATTGGAGATTTGGTCACCATCCCATAGCCCAGCATTCACACTATTACAAGAGGAACTTCTATAAGAGTATTACCCCACGGCTTACCATACAAAATGTGGATAAACCATTGGCATTTTTGAGAAAATTTACTCCAGATGGTAGTATGCTGTTGGCATTCTCCTATGAGCAGAGGGCCTTAGAAGTATACCAATACCAGGGTGTAGGACGGGTGGCACACCTGTTGGGTTCCCACAAAAGTGAATGCATCACAGCTGCGGATCACTCCTTGGACTCGTTGCATATACGACAACAGCTCTTCAATGCCCTGTTCAAGAAGAAATACACAATCCAATTGATAAATGCTTCGTGGTCGACGCGCCACGTTTTGAATCGTGAATTTAGTATATTTCTTGAAAATGGTCGTTATGTTTTGTTGGTATCGGTGGCCGGTGGTTCGATTTTTCCCAGTTATCAAGCCTATCGGGAATATCCCGATCTCTTCGATGATGCTGATTTGTATGATTACACGTTCCACTTGGTAGATTTACAAAAGGGTTGTATTTCGGATACCTTACGCATGGAACATGATTTTATTGTCCTATCACATAATCACAGTGTATCGGTATATGGACGTACTATAGCAATTCTTTCTACATATCGACAATGTATAGAACTTTTGGAATTGGATAATGAAGGAAAATTGCAACGTTTATATACGGTGGGACCGTATGGCAGCAATTTAGTTCGTGATCAAATTTTGGCCCAAGAACAAATTGAAAATTCCACATTGGATCATAGACACAGTGTGCCTTTGTCTCACTTGAAGCAGAAAATATTGACATTTCTTTACAATAGGGCCCTAGAGGCACCCACGACATTTTTGCGCAAAGAAAAGCTGAAATTTTTCTACAAACATTTTGGATTGGTAGGTAAATTGTCATTGGAGATGTAGGACGTCTTTGCAGGAATAATCTAAATTCATCTATTTCAGATCGAACGCATGCTTATATTAAAAATGCAATTGATCGACAGTGAACATCTGCTGTTGCGTTATGAAAAACGACAATCCCAAATGCCCTTGGAAATGCTGCAGGGCACTGCCGATTCGATTAGTAAAAATTTTAAATTATATGTTTTCTACAACATCACGGAACAGAAAGTATTAAAAATACTAGATCGAAATTCTGTGACACTGCTCCTAATGCTGCGAAATTATTGCGATGAATTTCGCAACGTTCGCTCCTTGTACTCGTGGTATGCCTCATCGCCGAGTAATAATGATTTCTTTCGGGCAGCATTTGATGAGTAAGTATTTGGATTTTTCAAAACAAAAAATAAATAAATAAATTTAAATTTAATATTTTCTATTTATTTCCAGTGCCTTGAAATCCTTTGCCGGTGGCATACGCGAAGCAGCCGATCGTTTTAATCCCACGTTACCAATTAGTGCACAAAGTTTTTCCACCAGCCCTTATTTGGATTATTCCCTATTTAATTATGATGATCGTTTTATATCGACATTGGAAAGGCCACGTTTAATTGGTATGGAACCAATACGATTTCGTGATCGTATTACAAATATATTGAAGTTTCGTGTCCATTTGGAACATTCATCGGATACATGGCAGGAATATGGCATGGATAATAATCCACGAGATTTGGTTACATTCATATTTCATCCGTATGAGCCATTCTTTATTAGTATACAGAAATTTATATCACGTTATGTTTTAAATTTTCATATTTATAATGCAAATACAAAGGTGGGGCCGTAAGAAAAACAACTGAATATTGTATGGGATGGTAGTTAATATAAAAATAATTATTAAATATTTATTATTGGACTGTGTTTTTTGAGTTGTAAACTCCATTTATATATAATAAAAGAGTGAGATATTAAAATTGTATTGGGATTATTACTTTAGATATATGTGGGAGGTAAGGTACTGGCTGTCATCGGCTAATAACAAAGACAAATCCCTAGACTGCTTCCGAGATAGCAAAAGCTAAAAGCTTGGATATATTGTGAGAGAGTAGGAAGATATCATCCGCATAGTCTAAGCTGTCGTGAGACACTCCATGTTATACCTCTTCTCTGAGAGCAGACTTCATTCATTATTTTATTCAGAATAATTGTGAACAATCCTACGTCGGTGCGAAACGATTGGCTTATGTTCCCGTTGTAAAGAACTGAGAGTTCTGCATCTTAGCACATCGTTCTTATTTTTCGGATTATTTTCTGGGGTACTCCCTTTTTGCTCAATGCCTGTACATTTCGTTATTTTCAGTAGTGTTTCTGACGTTTCTGATTTCTTCGAAATGTTCTCTCCATCTCTGAGCTTGTTCATCACTGTTTGTTAGTAGCCTACCATTACGATCTTTAATTGCTTGGCTCCTGGAACACTATTTTTCTAAATTAGATATAATACATAAAACTTATTTTTAATGTATTTTTATTATTTATTAGAAAAGTGAAAAAAGTCATTTTTCATGACCATTCTTCAGACAATGATTATTCAACGAAGTCCTCAATGAAAATTCCTCGCCACATGTTCTACATGCAAACGGTGTTTGTCCCGTGTGCATATACATATGTGTCCTCAACACCGACGGATATTTAAATGTTTTCTCACACTCCAGACATTTGTACGGTCGCAATTCGGAATGTACTCGCATATGGATTTTCAACTTATCAGCGCGAATAAATGATTTATCACAATCGGAACATTGGAATGGTTGGATGTTACTATGTATGAGACGATGGGTTTTCACATCTTTGACACGTTTAAATGTCTTATCACAAATATCACAAGGATATGGTCTATCACCGGTGTGAACACGCAAATGGCTGTTGAGCATTTTCTTTGAACTAAAAGATTTGCCACATTCGGCACATAGAAATGGTGTTGTGTCTTTAATGGCTTTTGGTGTTTTTTCCTTCGGATTTATATGTTTTGTTTTCATGTGCCGACCCAAATCATCTCGTCTGCCATAACTGCGTTCACATAGATTGCAGGCAAATGGTTTTCTTTCTTTGGGTGTCACATTACAATACTTCTCCGCCATTTGTGGACCGTGTTTCAATTCTATGTGAACTTTTAGTGCCTGCCGCCGGCTTGTTCTGTGACTACACAAAGGACATTGTATTTTCTTTTCATCGGGCATGTGACTGTAACGTTTGTGTGTATACAGAGCATGTCTATCGTGATAGACTTTTTGACATATATCACATCGGATTGCAATGGGTTCGTGCAACATATCTATTTCATCGAGAGATTCAATATCAGATTCCGATACCTCTGTGTCACTCAATGATTCTTGCCTTGCAAAGAAAATAATTTAGTCATAGTAACATCGACCTGGCAACTATCTTAGCATACCTTTCAAATTCACAGGAATCATTTAAGTCTAGGGATTTGTCTTCCATTATTTGACTATTAGATGTCTTATGATTTGGGAAATCTTCGGCGGGGTCTTGTTCATTGCAGGAACTATTCATTGTTTCTTCTAATTTTATTTCTTTCAGTTCATCCTTATCATCTTCATGTTCCTCAAGAGTTTCTGCTTCAAGCAGTAATTCTTCATTGGTTTGGGGAATCTCGATAAATGTGTTAAGGGCATTTTGTGAACTTGAATCCTCTTTTTCAATAGCATCTGCAGCATCTGGTCGGTGCTGTTTCACGAATTGTTCATACGATGCCTTTACTTGCAGCAAAAAGCTGTAACTCTGTTTCAACTGTCTTAAACACTTTAGGCATATCTTCTTTGGAAATCTTAATTCTACAAGATGTTCCCCGGCCTGGAAAGGAAGATGTAATATTACACATGTAGTATATAAATAAACTGTGTAGGTCATCACTCACATTTTGTATAATTCCCAGCATCATTTCGTGTAAAATGTCCTTGTAAGTTTTATTTTCAGCTCCAGAGATCTTTGCTTTTGCTGTGGGTTTTACCAGTCTGTAGGAAAAGTTTCGGCAACAAAGACATTCTCCAGTTTCTTCAGTCATATTTTAAAATTAGGAAAATAGTTCCGATTTCAAGCTATGTATAATTGGATGAAGTATGTTTCATAGGCTCCTAGATACATAGGTATATCACAAAGTTTAAAAACGTTCCATATTTTGCGAATATGGCGAAAGTGGATAGAATGGGTGATAAAAAATTAAATCAAAACAAAATGAAGTTTATTATTTACGAATGTTTGCATTACAAAAGGGAAGATAATCTATATTTGTTTAGAATGAGAAATGATGGACACGACCGGAAGCAAGTAGATTTAATAAGGTCGATGTAAATGAGTCAATAATAATCTATTATATATGAGCGAAAATATATTGGTCCAACGGGAGTAGGACCAATATATTTTCGATTCGGACTTAAGTCCAGTTTAAAGCACGGTCACGGATCGTTTTGATTTTTGCCGTATGCAGCCCGAATGTCGCTCATTTATCTTGCAGAAATCCATATTTACGGAGATATGGGGCATCAAACTTTCGCTGGGACTCTTGTTTTTTATTTTTTATCATGCCTTTTAAAATTCACTAAGCCGATATGAGTATATAAAGCAGTTGAAATTTTAAGTTTTTTACATGATTGTAAGAAGTCATTATTTTCTGAGAAATGGGATATTCCGACTGGGCCTTGATAAAATTCCCTAAAGTAATATCGGGTCTATTTCGCTGATTAGCAGAAAACATAAACAGTTTGGATGATATGAAATTGATAATCTAGTCTTCTTCTCCAAAACAGACCCAAACCAAATCCTAGGCTTTGTCAAAAATTTGACTTGGCTAAAATAACCTCTCTTCCGCTCTTCTTCTCTCACTATCTTTTCTCCCTACTCTTCCACTCTCTCTTTTCTTTTTTTACAGGTATATATATAAAAAGATGATCACAATGGACATCGTCTCCGAGTGAACGGTTGTTATCAACAACATAATATCGGTATCAATAAATTCTCGGCCGATGACTGACCACACACAATTGCAATGGTGGAGATCCTTGCAAACAACCCAAAATAATGCACTCTGAATTGCAACCGGCTGTGTCCAGATGACAAGCGTCGATCACCTCCATTAGAAGACCAGGATGCTGTCAGTCAAGCTACATAATGTGTTGTTGACTAGACAGTTCCTGCAGGCATGCTATCTGCCGTGTCATCCTAACCATCACACAATGATGGCAGATCCACCTCCGCGATACATGCGCCAGGACTTCAGGCGCTATCGTGATGAAATCCAAGACGTCATTCCATCGGACGTCAACAGATTATCGATAGCGAATGCGATGAAATTCGTGCATCAACTGGCGGTCTCCGAAGCCATAAATGGCTACAGATGCAATAAAGTCCTACAACAACATCCCCCTGCAATTTCGGAGAGTGAGAGGCTTCTTCCTAGGCAAACCCATTCAATTCTGGCACAACTAAAGTCCGGATATTAATTAATGTTCTCAACTCGTATCGAGAGCGTATTGTCCCCAGCAAAGCCCTCACGACACACACCATCCGTTATATGGGGTCTACCAGAAAAAGTGGACCGATATTTATAATTTGTAATGGAGGCTAATCGAGAAAATGAGCCTATATTTATAAGAATCCATTTTACCAAATTTCAGCGAATTTGGTATAAAAAAGCACCAAAACCCCCCAAAATACAGTAAATTGGGGGTACCGTTATATGGGGGCTACAAGAAAAGTGGACCGATATTTATAATTTTTAGTGGAGGCATTTGGTACCCAATAAGAAACCAATGTACCAAATTCGGTTGAAAAGCGCGCTCAAGAACCCCAAAATATTAAAAATTGGGGGTACTCTTATATGGGCGCTATGTCTGAACGTGGACCGTTATAGCCAATCTTCGAACTTGACCTGCCTGCAGACAAAAGAAGACTCTATGCTAAATTTTGACGATCTATCTCAATTCCTTCAGAAGATAGCGTGATTACAACAGACGGACGGACATGACTAGATCTTCTTAAAATTCTACCCTGATCAAGAATATATAAACTTTATAGGCTCGGAAATGAATATTTCGATGAGTTACAAATGGAATGACGAAATCAATATACACTCCAGGTGAAGGGTATCAAAATTAGTTTGCGGCCTTACTGCAAATTTTAGTTAAGGGGACCCCCCCCCATTCTCGGGGTCAAAAATTTTGTAGATATAATTCGAATCTACACTAATTAAAGAATGTCCCTACAAAATTTCAAATGAAAATCTCAAGAACTCTTGAAGATATAGCCGATTTATTGTGTCAGCATCAAGTGACGGATGAAGGGCTTCTCAAACTTTAAACGCGTTTTTCTCTAAACATGTTTTTGCGAATGGCGGACACGATAACTCAAAAACTAATAACCCAATCGATTTCAATTTCATTTTTACACGTTTTTCTGTGAGTGTATAGCTATCGTATGAACTAGGATAAAGCCAATCGGTGAAGATCTTCCTTATTCTTTGACTTGGGCTTTGGTAAAAAATCGGCGATTTTCCAAAAATATTTTTTTAAAGGTCCACCATTTTGTTAATTTTAGAGCGAAGTCAATAATCCTAGTTCATACGAGAGCCAGACATGTACTCTTTCTAACACCGTTGGAATTTTCGGATTCCGATGTTCCAGTGAGGAGTTATCATGCCCGCCATCAAAAATAAGGACTCTTCTTTAATTACAAAAAACAACAACAAAACAATAACAAATTTTTTTTGTAAATTATTTTTCTTCTATTTTAAATCTTCAATTATATATGTGTAAAGTTACAAACCTTAACAAGCATTGGTATTGATTTACCAGCCCATTGAAAATCTTGAAAAATTAAAATCGAGAATGGGTGGGGTTCCCTTAAGCCAAAAATGCGATATAAGAAAACAGTTTCTTGAAACAAAAAAAAAATACTTATGCGGGGATATTAAAATCCTGAGATGCTTCATATAATTTTTTTGTTATTTTCATAAAAATATATTTTTCTTCCACGGAACTCGCTGTTTCGAAAAATAAATCTTCTGTTCGATAATGTGTACACCATTTCATTCCCATATTACCAAATGAGTAACCGACTACTCCAGTAATTGGTATTACAAATTTCTACCTTACACACCAAAAATATAACGGTTTCTTGAGAATACATAGAATAGAACGCGCTTAACGATTAAAGAAGAAAAAAATCCTGAGTCCGTTTTGTTCAAGTCCCAATATTTTTATATGTAATTTTGTCATTTATTTTGTCTGTATATTTTGTTTATTGGTGTTTATGTTTTGTCAATAAAAATAATTAATAAATAAAATACAAAATGATGAATGATAACGTTTTCGATCATGCCAATGAGCTTTTGGAGAAAATGTGCGCTGATTTGCGAGCATCATTGGCTCGGATTGGAAACGAAGTATGTAGCAATTTTTTATGTTCAATACAATAATTTATTCATTCAAATATTTTTCTTTTGTCTTTTTTTTAGTGTCAAGGAAATCTGAATAGAATAACTAAAGATTATCTGGATAATGCTTCGAAAACCTCCAGTGGCTATGATGATGAAGAATTCAATGATGACTCCACCAATAGCGATGGAGATGAGGAAAAGGATCATGTTCGGCTACCATTTAAGCCCAAAGTGTTTGCCAGTGAAGGCGTTAATACTAAAACATGTGTAATCTGTAAGGATATAATTGTTTTATCGGACGACGATGATGATGATCATATTGGCGATGACGACGATGATCAATCTGATGTTTGGACTATATGCTCGGACTCAGATGAAGAATACTATACATTTTGTCTGGACGATTTGACAGATGAACCGGAAAGGACGTAAGTGAATTTAAAATATTTTTCCATTTTAAAGATTTTGTGGGTTCTATTAATTGTTTTTGATATAATTTCAAATATTTTCAGATATTTTCGTGCGAAAAAGTACCTACCAAGTTATCCACCCAGTGAAAAACTTAAAATATCGAATAAACAAAATTTTTCTTTGCCCTCGCTATGCGATAATGATATAATAAAGAAATACATTGGTAATCGTCGCCTGGACAAAGAAAATATAATAGGAGTTTTCAATACCTTACTTGAAATTGAAGATCTAACCGATATGGCTGATTATCCAGCATTGGCACAAAAAGATGTCACCCTAAAATGGACGGAGAATAGAAAATATTGGATACCGGTGAGTGTGTAAATACTAATTTTGATATATTCGGAATTTTATAAATTAAATCGTGTTTAATGTTTTGTTCAAACCTACCATCCAGATGCCTGTTATGCCCAATGTGAACATTGATGAAATTATTGTACCCTTTATGGATGAATTAGTGGTTATACCAAAAGAAAGTAGTGCCTTAGCCGAAGCGAGTCCACCGAAATATTTAATTGACACTTTATTTCCACATCCACATGAAATGGAAGTTGATAATTCAATAAAACGTCGCATTGCCACAATATATAAAATATCCAAAGATGAGGTACATTTTCGTTTTAGCAAAGATGAACATTTTACTGCAACACAAATTCGATCATTATCTTCAACGAAATATGATATAATAATACGTCCACGTCGTTTGCCAGTACGTTATCAATATCGCGCCTTGGAAATGTTGGCTGAAGATGATCATGTCCGACAATATCTATTTCCCGAAACGAATCCAATCAGAAATATAAAATATGAACCAGAATTTGAGTAAGTACAGAAATCTCTATATAGAATAGACATTTAAAGAGAACATTTTCAAATGGTTTTCTGGACGTAGAGAACCTGCTAAATGCATTCTAGGAATAGAGGACACGTTTAAGGTCTTCTAGAGTAGAAAAATTGTTAAACATCTTCTAGAAGCTTATCTGGACATAGAGGCCATGTTAAAGGCCTTAGGAAGGTCTTATAGACATAGAGGCCCTGTTAAATGTCTTCTAGACACATATAACATCCCTGTAGAAAGTCCATAGAACCCCTTTTGAAGTTATTTTATTCGTAGAATACCTTTCGATGCTCTTCTGTCCGTAGAAGACGTAGAAGTTTGAAAATATTCTATCCGTAGAAAATCTTCAGAAGTTTATCTGTACATTGAAGATATCCAAGAATGTCTTCTTTTCGTAGAATACCCTTTGACAGTATTCAATCCGTTGAATACCTTCAGAAGGGTTCTATGTGTACCTTTTGAAAGTCCTCTGGCATTGGAATACATTTTAAATGTCTACTCAATGAATCCCTGTAGAATGTTTTGGTCCATAGATTACTTTTGAAGTTATTCTGTTCGTAGAAGACCTTTTGGGTCTCTTCTAACCGGGAAAGACCCTTTGGATGTCTTATGAACGTAAACGATCGTTCGAATACCTTCAATCCGTAGAAAATCTTCAAAAGAAGATCTTTTGGGAGTCTTTTATCCGGGGAAGATCTTTTGAACGTCTTCTATTCGTAGAAAACCTTTTCATAGCCTCTAATCCGTTAATGAGCTTCTGAAGTTCTTCTATCCGTAACAGGCCTTTTTGACCATTTATCCGTAAAAACAAAACAGTCTTCAAATGGTAGAAGACCTTCAGAAGGTTCTTTATGTGTAGAAAAACTTTTGAAAGTCCTTTATCGGTAGAGTAGCTTTTGAACATTAATGCATAAAATCCCTGTCCATAAAAGACCTATTGAAGATCTTTAGACGTACATAACGTATTTTTGTGAAACCAGAAAATGTGTTTATATATATGACAACATTAAATATTAATCGCAATCTTTTAATCATTTGTATTAATTTTATTTTAAAAATATTTCAGATTAAAACTATTTAATGCCACAATTGCCTCAAATCCAGAACAATTGGGTGCCGTGCGTTGTATAACCGAAGGACCCAGTCCAAATGCTCCATTTGTGATTTTTGGTCCACCAGGTATGTAAGAATTTCTCATTCTCATACGTTTTTCTCTTATAACCATAAAAAACCCCTTCCTATTTCTCCCAAGGGACCGGCAAAACCACAACAATCGTGGAGTCCATACTACAATTACGACTTCTTAAACCAGGAAGCCGTATACTTGTCACAGCCGGTTCGAATGCTGCTTGTGATACAATTGCATTACGAATATGCAAATATTTTAATAGCAATGAACGCTTGCAAGAGATCCAAAAACGTGATCCCGAAAATCAAAAACCCCTAATACGTATCTATTCGAAAACCATTGTTGAAAAGGGTCTTCGCCTGATCGATCCCGAATTGCAGGCCAATTCTAATTGTCAACATGGTATACATTATTATCCTTCTGTAGAGGAAATACGTCAATATGGCATTATTGTGGCAACACTGTGCACCGTGGGTAAATTGGTTACCGGCGATATTGGTGAAATGAATTTCTTTTCGCATATATTTATCGATGAAGCTGGTGCTTCGACCGAGCCTGAGGCTTTAGTTGGTATTATGGGTATAAAAACATTAAATTGCCGTGTCATTTTATCCGGTGATCATAAACAATTGGGACCGATCATTAGATCGGATCGTGCCAATCAATTGGGTCTGGGAAAATCGCTAATGGAAAGATTATTGAGTTTGAAATGCTATGGTCTGGATGATAATTCCAATTATGATCGCACCATACAGGCCCGTTTAAAACGTAATTATCGTTCACATCCGGAAATTGTCAAGATATTCAATCATTTGTATTATAAAAATGAATTGATTGCTGAAGCTAAATTGGGTAAGATTCTTAATTGTTACCTATTTTTTTAATTGAAATTTAATTTTTAAATTAAACCCATCTTGCAGATGATGTCAACATGGCTGCCAAATGGTGTAAATTACCGAATCCCAATTTCCCTATTATTTTCCAAGCCGTTCATGGTGTTACCGAAAAGGATACCGTTTCACCTAGTTCCCGTAATAATCTGGAGCTACAGGTGTTAATGTGGTTCTTACGTCGTCTACTTATCGATGGCATAGATGGCCATCCGGTAAAACAGTCGGATATTGGCATCATTACACCTTATCGCTTGCAAAATAAATTAATACAAAATCGCCTACATGATTGTGGTTGGACCGGCGTGGAAAGTGGTTCCGTGGAAACATTTCAGGGTAGAGAAAAACAAATAATTATTGTATCATTGGTGAGATCATTTTCGGGTCTTGGTTTTGTAAGGAATCCGAAGGTAAAATGATTTTTTCTCTTAATTTTATTTTAATTTAAAAATAATTAATTGTTTTTAATTTTGCCCTCTTTTAGCGTCTAAATGTCATATTATCACGTCCAAAATCTTTACTTATTCTCATGGGTAATCCATTGACATTGAAACGTCACCCGGACTTTGCCTACATCTTAGATGAATGCCGTAAACATGGCACATTTTTACGTAAAAAGAAAAGCAAAAAGAATCGCAAAACGGCGAAACTAGTTAAATTAGTGACTATTTAAATGACTATTTTTTAAAACTCTGATGTAACCCAATATTTATTTTTTTATTATTATTTATTTCACTTGTATTCGAATATCATTTAAACAACAAGGACTATCCAGATGTTAAGTTGTATTGTCTTTCGTGATATCAAATGTTTGTTGGTTTGTCTTTGCGACATCTTTTTTTTGTGTTTAGTAGTGTACGTGTGTGTATGTGAGTGAGTGTTACTGTGTATTTTCGTATCTTTACTTATCTTTAATTCTCCATATATTTTTTAATAACATTCGCTTATATACTTATAACTTTTTTTAATCTACTGAACGAATAAAAACAAAATGCTTTGTAATTCATTTAAATGAAATAAATAAATTTCTTGCCACCGCGGTATCCGTGGTGTTGAGAATTCGTTTCAAAAAAATATATATTTTTTATTTGATTGAATATTGATTTTAGATTTCAGTACTGAAATTCTATGAAATTCAGGATAAGATGTGATCCAGTACAATTGACTACTATTCGTTAAGCTACCTCTGTTGCATCGAAGATTGATTTTCGAAGTGTGGTGATACATTTTCCTCTATGGATTCTGGTGGTTTAATTGTTCCCAATTTCAAATATCGAATTAGAGCAGTTCTTTGTACATATTCCACATCGAGGCTACCCGAATAGTGGATCAATATTTATAATTTTAAGTGGATAGATTTGGTACCCAAAATAACCCCAAATACCAAATTGCAGAGAATTCGGTTGAAAAATGGGCCCAAAACCCACAAAAAAAGGGGGGGGGGTACCGTTATATCGGGGTTATTCGGAAAAGTGGACCTATTTTGATCATTTTGAGTACTGAGAGATTTGGTGCCCAAGTAGAACCTAAAGTACAAACGTCATCCTGGAATGCGACGCAAACACTCACCATTTCCAATGGTGTAGCAAGGACACTAACAAAAGAGGTGAGTCTATTTTCGATTTAATTCTATTATATAATGTACGTAAAATCATTGGTAGAGAGGAGATCATTGACTTAACCCTCTCAAAACTAGATGACTCCGTCATCAGCAATTGTAGAGTGTATGATGAATGCTTCTTTTCGGATCATTTGAAGATCTTTTTCGAGGTCTGTTTTGACGGAGGTATAAAAAGCCTTATAGAAATCCGAGAAGAACAAAGTGAAATACACGGGTCTAACGAGTTCCCAGTTGACTCTTATTATAAATTTAGAAAGAGCTCAATGGAGCCACGAACCATCTTACAGACGTCCTTCTCTGCTGTCCGCTAACATACCATGGTAAGAAATCTCAGCCATTGTGGTGAAATAGGGAACTCGGTGAGCTCAGGAAAGTGGACAGACCACTGTACAACATGCTCATAAATCAAAACTCGATATATATTGACTGGAACTCCTATAAAGCAAGTTTCAACAAATACAAGAGTGAGATTAAGCGTACCAAGAAAAAGTCTTGGATAAATTTCTGTGAGTCGATAGAAGGAGTTAACGACGCTGTTAGTTTTCCAGGACCAAATGGTATCACACCGGCGATGCTTCAATTTGCCTCGCCAAGTTTATATTTGATCCTTGAGAAGATCTATACGGCGTGTTCCGGGTCTATGGAAAGAGGTAAAGGTTACTTACATTCCCAAAGCGGGTAAACCAAGCCACCCTGCACCAAAAGACTATTGACCCATTAGTCTATCATCATTTCTCCTCAAGGCTCTCGAAAGACTGATCGACCTGAAGATTAGGAGTCGTGTGGACACCAACTCTCTTAGCAATTCGCAGCACGCATATATAAAAGGCAAGACTGTGGAATCTGCACTGCATGAGGTGGTAAGTTATATTGAGAGGAATATGGAAAACTCGAACTATACGTTGGTTCCCTTCTTAGATATAGAGGGAACCTTCAACAACATCAAACTTGAGTCCGTAAACCACTCACTTAAAAAAAGGTAGCATTCCTGAAACCCTTACTTGTTGGAGAGATAAAATGTTAAACAGCAGAATTATAAATTCAAATGTGGAGGATACAAAAATCAGGAAAACAGTAACAAGAGGCACCCCTCAGAGCGTGGAGTTCTCAAGAAGTTGTTCTCTTTCTAGATGCCAAATAGAAAGCTTTAAAATAAATCTAAAAATTTGGAACAAAAATCAGTAATAATAAAAATTCATTCTGCTCATAAATTTTTGTTGTATTTTTATTAAAAATTTCTTGTTTTTTACAATATTATATATAAAAATACAATTTCCAATTACAAATTTCGTTTCGTTTTTTTGTTGTTGTTGTTGTTGTTACACTTGATTCAAGTTCAGTTTCCGGTCTTAACTTACTTTTTGAAAAAATCAAAAAACAAAAGAAAAAATCTGTAATTGTGAGTTTTTGTGATGGTTTTGGTTTACTCTTTCAAAAAAAAAAATCCAATCATGGGTGTTAGATGATTGTTAGCTGGTGTATCCTTTTATTTGGATGTTTACAGGATAATAAATGTTATGTAATTAGTATGCTCATGGTGTTGCTGTTGATGTTGTTCTTCGTATATAATATTCGTTTGTCTGTTATGTTGTCTTTTTAGTGATGTAAGTTTTTTAATTTTTTATTTTATTTATTTTTGTTTTGTTTAAAGGGTCCAAAGTAAAGTTTTGAGTCTTTTTTATACTCAATACTCTTCGGGGTTTTTGGTTATAGTATTAAAGTCTGATCAGTTGTTGTTTGTTTGCTGTTTTGTTGTTATTTGGCAAATATAAATGAGATGATGATTTATTTTTGTTTTGAAATGGTGAATTTCGTTTTAAAATGTTTTATTTGTGAATTGTTTGTGCTTGGTATTGTATTTTGGGAGTGTGGTGAAACGAGCTTTCTGTAGCTGTTAGCTGGTTGCAGGTTTTTTTTTGTTGATTTTAATATTTTTTTCAATTTTCTTGTCTGAAAGTTTTGAATGTGCATTTTCTGTATGCTGCTGTGGTGGATGGTGCTGCACAATTTCCAAAATTTAAGTCTATAATCTTAAGTCTAAAAATTATGTTAATATCTAAACGAGAGTTTCATTGCATCCTTACAATTAGTACATATATATAACCTTAAAAATTATGTTCTTGTTCTATGTGTGTATGTAAGTAAATAAAAATATTGAGAGAAAATAGTATTATTATTATCGCATGCAGACTACAAACTACAACAACGCAAAAATTGTGTTGTTAATAACTACCAACAAAAAAGTTCTAGTAGTATCAAAGAAATCCATGACGTCCCTTTTTTATGGTCCGATTTCGTCATGGATTTCGTACAAAAAGTCGAAAATCGTTAAGCCATTATGCCATAGCCAAATGGGTCAGCTGAATTGGTTTGTAATTGTTGATGTTGTTGTTAAGGTCCACAAAAAATACAAAACATGGTCGGTTCGGTAGTTTGGTGTTAACCATTAAGCCCCAAATTTTAATGGAAAACACTACTCCTTACAACATATATGTATGTATAAATGGGTGTGTGTAATATATATTTGTGTCCATGCCATTAAAACACAAGGATCAAAAAATAAATAAAAAACAAAAATAATAAAAAAATAAAAATAAAGAAAAACAAAAAATTTGTTAACAATTAAAATTTTGTTAGTTGTTTTTTATATAATTGTTTTATTATTATTATTAATAATATATGTGTGTAATTATTATGATGTATGTTTCATAGTATTATTATCATTATTTTAATTATTATTACAAAAAAAGAAAGGAACAAAGTGTTAAGTGTAAAACAATACAGTTGTTGTTGTTGATGTTTATTACTATTGTATATTGTTGTTGGTGTTGTTTTTGATGTTCGATTTTTAGTTAGTGTTGTTGTTGCTTTATATAAATGTTTTTGTTTTCTATATCCACGTTGTTGTTATAGTTCTTGTTTTGAGAGAGAATTTCTGTATTGGACTTAAACTTCAGTTTGTGGTCTCTTTTCAATCCAGGCCTTAATGGGTTCCAAGGCATTGATACTATCGACAACAGCACGCAATGCTGGATATTGTTCCAAAATGTCACGCTTCACCATGTAGTTCATGTAATCCAAAATACCAGCAAAGTAGACATCGGCCCATGTTAACTGAAATAAAGGGAAAAAATGTATTTTGTAATTTTTTTTTATAAAATTTAAAATAAATAATGAAAGAAGCTCCTAAAAATATGCTATATTAATATTGAGATATAAAGGAATAACTGATTTTGCATGCAAATAAAATATTCCCAAAAATAAAATAAAATATTCCCACTTTCAAAATAAATGACTCAAATAATGAACATAGAATTGTAGTTATCAACCTCATATAGCCCCCCAAACTTCTCCTAGTCCTATCCATCTATAACCTAACCCTAAAAAAGTAATTAATTATTTTTTATTCTCGCCCTATAATCATCACTGACCTTGTTCAATGCCAAATGACCATCGTTATCCTTGACAGTTTGTTCCAATTTCTCCAAATAGAATGGAATGACTTCATTGTTAAGGGTGACCAATTTCTTTTCCTTGATTTCATCCTCGGGTTCGTAGGAAACGACTGCAATTTCTATATATTAAAATACAAAGATTAATCAAACAACATAGACATGCAACTGCACACATTGTTCGCTACTTAGACGGAAATCATTGATGGTATCGACAACAATATCAATTTGTAGATCTTCCCAGGGTGTGGCACCGCACAGACCGACAGTTTTCGCCAAGAAACGGGCCATGGAAATGCTCTGGTGAACACGTTTGCCATTAACTTCCAACACGGGCATTTGACCCATGGGCATGGCTGGATGAAACACAAGGAGATAAAATTAGATAATGAGGAGGTGAATGGATTAGTAAATGACTTTTTTTAACTTACTTGGCTTCAATGCTGGCCACTCATCACGTGTTACACGAACATCCTCGTATTCAATGCCGCCATAGGCGAATAGATAACGCAATGGCTCAGCCAATGCCTTGACATTGAAATAGAATAGAGTGTAGGTGTTCTTGACGGGTTCAGCTGGTGGGGCTTCGCCTTCAGCTGGTGGTGGGGCCTCACCTTCGGCGGGCGCCGCTGGTGCCTCTCCTTCAGCGGGTGGTGCAGCTGGTGCTTCATCGGCCATGTTTTATGTCTAGAACAACAAATTGGAAAATTGTTGAAAATGTTGTTTTTTATTTTTGGAAATTAAAGAGAAAATGTAAAAATCTCTTCAAAAATCAATTAATGCCTTCTGTTTCTTAGTCCCAATTTAGATTAGGCGAGTTTACTTGCGGCAAGTCTTTGACTTTAGGAGAGAGGGCCAAGGGGAATAGAAATGGAAAAAAATTGTTCGTACCGACAATTTTCTGGCAATTCGTTTTGTGTATTCGTATTTGTTGACATTTTATATTGTGAACAAAAACTTTTGACATCAAATGAAAACAGAAATATTCTTGAAACCGAATTGCCTTTTATAGACGCATGAAGCAAGTTCAAAAGGGAACGATAATAATTGCCGCAAGTAAACTCGCCTAATATAAATCAGGACTTAATAAGAAAATATTTAAATCTTTTCAAAAATCAATGCCTTCTTTTTTAAAACAAATTAAATGACTTTTCATAAATGTTTCTGGGTGTTATTAAACTTTTCTTATCATAATTAGGTCGAGTGGGGTGTTTGATAAGTAAAGTTGATTGCACTGAATGTTCATACATATAAACACATCTGAGATATACTTACGCGAATTTTTAAACTTATGAACTGATAAGATAAAATCATAATCGTCTATTGGACGACAAAATAACAAGTTGTTATTGTGATTACAATCAAAATATATTTTTATACACTTCCTATTTAATGGTAAATGCCCCGATATAGCAGTGCCCGGCAATAGCTCCCGTCATTACTCAAATTTCAGCTTTGCTCAGGTTCAATAGTGAGGACTAACCTCTCACAGTAGACGCCAGCCCCTGTACATTCTTCCATCTTTGATCCGTCTGTATAAAAAGCCAGACTTGATGTTACAGGATTTAAGGGCTTTAAGAGCCGCTTGATTATCCATAAAAATAGTCACCGGTTCAACGATCTCTGCATTCACACTTTTTGTCAATTCTGCTGCCTTCCAAATCGAGAAGATTTCAGTTGGAAAGCATTAAAGTTGCTATCCAACTTGTAGGTAAGCTAAAGCCCTAGCATTTCACAGCCCCGGTACATCATTTCATATTGGATCCGTCTGAGGAACCGTCCAGACTTCTACAATATCAAATCTCAGAACTGGTGATATATAGTCGCTTATTTGTCTATGTTGTTTCAATGTGATACCTGGTTCGTTCAGGATACATCCATGCCCATAGGTAGGCAGCCTGACACTTAATGATGAGACCCAAAGGCTGGGACTTTCCAGCTTCATCAATATATTGTTGATACCTAATAGCCACAGCAGCGGTTAGAACACTTCACCCTGACATCTGTGTTTCCAAAGCTACTCTACAATTGGGTACGACCTCAGACTTGATGTTACAGAATTTGATGGCATTAAGAGCCGCCTAACTATACATAAAGATAGTCACCGGTTCAACGATCTCTGCATCCAGACTTTTTATCAATTTTGCTGCCTTCCAAATCGTTAAGATTTCAGGTTGGAAAACACTGCAGTTACTATCCGACTTGTGGGTAAGATCAAGGCCTAGTCGATGGTTTTAGACCCCAACTTTTCCCAATGGAATTCTTGCATGTATAGATTGGAATCAAACCTCCCTTCGCCCTCTCCTCAGCATTCCTGTTCCATCGTAATTGACAGACCAGGATTGTGTCAAGGTATTTTGCTTCGGGAGAGAGTTGGCACTACACCCCATCCAGTGCTGATGGAACAAGACGCCGAGCTAACGCTTCCTAGTGAACATTACCAGTTCTGTCTTTGTAAAATTAACTCCATGGCTTTAGCCTTGTCTCAACGTGACAGCGTCGATAAGGCTCTTTGTATATAAGCTCCGAAAGAGTCCTCGACAGCTCAATCCGTTCAGAGGTGTTTAAAGACATGTCTGCGTTCGGCATTCCTGCAAAATTAATACGTGTAAGCAGGATAACTTTAACTGGCACAATGTCAGCAGTTAATACCGAACGAAGATTCACACAAGGTGACAGTTTGTTGTGTGACCTTTTTAACATCCTGCTGGAAAAGGTGATACGAGCGGCAAAGGTGAACAGAAATGGCACTCTGTACTCTAAACAACACATGTTACTCGCCTACACCGATGACATCGATATAATGGGGCAAATATCGCTCGCAATGATAACAGCTACCTTTGAACTGGCAGTAAATGGCGAGAAGACCAAGCTGATGGTATCAACGCGCAAGACATCCAGTAGACTCGGAACAAACTGTGGAACTTGAGAACTACAGCTTCGTGGTAGTCAATAATACCGCCATAAATAGAACTAATGACATCAGTTTTGAAATTCGGAGAAGGATAGTGTTGGCCAACAGATGCTACTGTGGTCTAAGTAAGCAGTTTAGAAAAAAGACCACCTGCCACCAGACAAAACAAAACTCTACAAACGCTGATACTACCCGTGCTGTTATATGGATCTGAAGCGTGGGTACTTGTGCATGCAGATGAGGTAGCTCTCGGAGTGTTTGAGAGAAAAATTCTCCGAAAGATCTATGGGACGATCTGCGTAGGCGGTGAATATCGCCGTCGAATGAACCATCTATTCTCGGACATCGACATTGTCAGTCGTATCTAGCTGCAGCAATTACGTTGGTTAGGTCATGTTGTGAGAATGGATGAGGATGCCCCAGCACAAAAGGTATATAAAAACGAGCCAATGTACGGCTCATGCAGAAGGGGAAGGCACCGAATTAATTGGAAAGATCAAGTGGAAGAGAACAAATTGGAAGAACTGCGCACAAGGCCGACGTGCCTGGAAATATTTTTTAAACTCGCCTTATGGAACAAATGTAACAAGCCAGCTAAGTAAGTAAGTAGGTTGAAAGGGTGGAGGGTCCCGACCGAACTCAACGCATTTTTTTAAATGTTTTACTAAAACCCTTTCTCTCCTTTCCTTTTGAATACTGTCAAGTGCTTCTGTATGTGAAAGCAATTTAGACAAAATAATCCGATGCGTTTGCTGCTGTTTTCTCGCATGTTTGGGGTTTTCTTTTTTTGCTAAATCAATGACGACGATGCATTGCACCTAACTGGTTTCTGTCTACTGACCGGGTTTGTTGTTGTTGTTCTTTTTTGCCTTCGTAATTTCCAATAAAGACTTGTGCTGGGGAAGACAAAACAATACCAACAAATATTTAAGCTGGCCGGTTGCCCTACCGGCAATTTGGCCTCCAGCCAGTAATGACAGCCGGTAACCGGTTTTCATGGTTTGTTGTCAACCCACCTAGTATGATGTTCGTTCGTTTTTTTGCTGGTTTGCAAATTCTACCCACATTTAATAGCTGTTACATGCCTGATTCTCTTGTCCAGACCTAAACCAAACATTTTTCTTGTCTCGTTTCTTTTAGAAGAGATTGAGATTGTTATCTTTAGAGAAATATATTTGCAACGTTAATTGGCTTGGATCGTGTTCGTTGCATACACCGGGAATGCTGATGATGGTGGTATGCAACAACAGTTGGTTGGTGGCATGATGAATATAGGTTCTCCACAAGAAGCCAACACAATCAGCCGACATTCAACATAACTGCAATATGGATTCATTACTCAGTTGTTACCATGCCCGGCAAAAAAACATTTGCCGTTTGTCTGCTGGTACAGTTTCAAGACAACGCCCTTTAATTTTTCCCCCAGTGGCTATATTTGGATTTTCACTTCCAATTTATTCATAACTATGCATCTGTAGATTTTTTCTTCGTTGCATCGACAGTCATATAGGGGAAACTAATATCTTCATTGTCATAAGTAAATCGCAAAATCTATGCAAGAGGCTCTTCTTGGTTCGATTGGTCTTGAAGTTTTTTCTTCTTTTCGTTTTGCCTTTTAAGAATATTTATGGGTGCAGTTTGAAAAAAGAAAATTCCACGAAAAAACGTTAAAGAAAATCAATATTCGAAGAAGACCATCAACGTCATTTTGAATAGTTCGCAGATGATGCGGATCATCTGTCTTTGTCACATGCAGACATCGAATAAATGCATTCAAGCGCATTTCAGAAATGAAAGTAGGAGTAAATGTGATTAAAAAGTATTTCCGCTATGTGTATTTTATATCAATTTTTATTCAGTGGTTAAATATGGATATTATTTTAATTAAATTTTTAGACACGTTTTTTTTCGGAACGGAAGTTGATATAATTAAAAAAAAACTGTTTGTTTGGATAGAATTGTTAGTATTTAATATAGTGATATGATAAGGGGCACAGAACTTTTTATAATGAATTTTCTAATAAGAATTTAAACATCCTTAACAAAGAAAGTAATTAAAAATCGGAACCTCCTGAAATTAACGGCTTTGAGACACCTCGATTTTTTATGCGCTTTTTTTGGCTGAGATGGTTTTATTTTGGCATCTAGGGTTCTTGGAGGGCGAACAACATATTTGACTTTTTCGATAGTTTTAAGACTTTTCAGTTTTCCTATTGAAGTTACTGTAATTTGGCATCCAGGGTTCTTGGAGAGTGAATGCAGAAAATGACAAATATATATCTTGTACCTAGACCTTTTAAATGGTCCCGTCATTTTCAGTATTTTAATGGTATAAGAATTTATTTTTATTAAAGTTGCTGTAATTTGGCATTGTAGGGTTTTTGGTCCATATTTTGACCGATCTTCCATTAGAAGATTAACCAAATTTTAGGTATTTTAGTGGTCCGAGGCTCATTTTCCAAAGGAAGTGGTTGTACATTTTTTGATTCTGCCTTCTTGGAGGGTGAAAGACATCATTGCTTAAAATTATTTAAAATGCGGCAGAACCTGCATATAAAAGTCCCGCCCATTTTTTGTATTTTGATGTCCTTGGGTCATTTTCCAAACAAAGAGGTTCTTAGAGGGTGAAAAAGGTCCCGCATAATTTTATCGTTCTGGGTGCATTTTCCAATCGAAGTGGCTGTAATTTGGCATTTTGGGTTCGTGGAGCTTTAAGACCATGTTCAATATTTTGACGGAGTCTACATATACAAGTTCCACCCTATTTTAGTTAGAAGCATTTAGTTCCAT